TAAAAGGAGGTCAGTAGGAAATAATACAGTACCGCGTTGCGACAGAATGTCATATTCCTACATACGTTTATCATTGTCAAAGATTGAAAGTGTGATATTTGAAACCGCATTTGCGAACGAGGAAATATCGATCGTATGCGATGCATTTGTTTGGAATTGTCAAGCAGCAGATATCACACGATTCGTGCTGCTGAATCTCGCGGATCAATTTTCGCAATTAGATAACGAGTTGTGTTTAATGTCGCACGTATAATAATAATCATTACATTACACATTGCGTGTATTGTCTACATAAATATTTTTTAAAATCTATAATTATTCTATTAAATATTTTGCGAAAATATTATTCGTACCAATAATTATCAAAATATGTAATACTTCATGGAAATACAAAAAAATTAAAAAGATATATATTTAAGTGAAAAAATTAATAGGATATACATGCACGCACACGCATAGTATAATTTTTCAAGGAATTAAAATCAATAGGAATAATATACTTTATGCATAATGATGTTTTAATATATTTTTCCATTTAAATGTTAAAAAATATTTAAATATAACTTTATAAAAAAACAGATTAGATTTGATGAGAGAACTCTTGCTTGCTAAAAAATTCATTAAATTATTATTTCCAGAAACATTAAAAAATATAATTTAAATGTCGTTTATTTCCGTATATTTAATTATTAATAAAGCTATTAAAGATACAAAAAAAGATCATCAAAATTTCTATTGTTCAGATAGTACTTACATGTGCAACATTTATTGTGCACAGAAGGAGATTGATATGTAATTCCGGCACATTCAAATTCCGAAGTCTACATTCCTACATGCTATGAATTGACCCTTAAATTCTAAATAGATCGAAAGTGGTCTCATAATGGGATTGGTCTGACGCCCACATAATTAAGTCGATCGGAAAACTTTTGAACTCAAGATAACTTTCTTAAATTTTTCATACAAAACAAAAATAGAATTAACTCTTTATAATTCCTATTATCTCATGAAAATTAAGTTGAATAATGATATGCACTGATAATAAGAGAAAAAGAAAAAAGTCCAATTTTATATGGATCTTTATACAAAGGAATAAATGCAAATTTGATGCATATTATGTTTCTTTGAAACGAATGATCTTGTAGATGATCTTGTACATCACAAATGTGAAAAGTGAACAAATAATTTAAAATGGAATTTAAAAGAGACCGGAAAACAATTTTTTATTTTTTTATTTTTTTAAGAAACAACGTAAATGCAAATAAATCTTGTCTTTTAATTAATTTTAGGTAGATTTAATTTTAAAATTTAAGTTTAAATCTACAAGATTAACAGATATATTATCAAGATATATATTTAATTTTAAAATATTAAATATCCTATAATAAAAAATAGTATTTATATCAAGTTTGAAAGATATAGAGAAAAAAATCATATTTTAATTTTTATCCCGCATCATTTTGTTTATCAAATGTGCATATTATTTTAAACAACTTATATTTTATTCGCTTTTAATAAGAATATTATTTTGTCTTCATTATTGTGTCGGTTTAATACATTTGAAGAGTAGAACAAATAAGTAGTTTAAGTAAGCAATAAGAGAAATTAGTTTAATGAGAAACTTATTATTGTTACATAAATTGATATTGACCAAATGTTAAAAAATGTTCGATGTCTTTTGACATTATTAACATCTATTCAAAATATTATTAAACTCTCGTTTAAGAATTTTTCATTATTATCTTCCTTCTATTATAGCTCCAAGCGTTCTTATATAGATAACACTCTCTAAGCAATACGTCCTATATAATCGACTTTATGCGATAGTTCGTCTATTGATCGTATGTTCTCGTTAGTAAATCGATAATATTACATTGTATAGTATATGATCTATATATAGAAATAATAAATTGAAAATCAATCACTATAATTTTGCAGAGAATATACGTGCGCATTTCCAATGTAATAATATAATGATATTGATATAATTGATGTTCAGCACATTAATCGTACTATATAAAAAAATATTATTAATATCTAACAGATGAGTGTAAAATAGAACGAGGATCGCTTGCGTGGATTACGTCACGCTTGTCATAAATCTCTTTGTCATGTTTTGGTTAACCTCTGCATTGTAAGCAGAATATAAGATTGGTCAAAAAAGTATCACATAACGTTTTTATGACAACCACCGGAATACTGAGAATGTTGATGACTATTGGCAACATGGACGTTGCTATTGCGACGCGACAAGACGCAACAGCTCGTTCTTCAGAGCACTCAAGAACGTCAATCGATTGAATATCTAGGCAACAAGAAAAAGGTCTGAAAGAGAGACGCGTGAAAACCCTATAAGACATAATATTCCTAAAATATTGTATAAATATTATTAGTTAATAATATTTATATAATAATATTTAATAATATTTAATATTTTAGGAATATTATTAGTTAATAATATTTACAATATCCTAGGAATATTGTATGCTTATAGGGAACATACTTTTTTCTTAAATATTTATAAAATCCAAATTCTCAGGATTGAGTGTATATACATATCAACTATAATAAAATTTATATTATGCTACAATTTTCAAAATTTATTATTATTGCTACAATTAACGTTATTTTAATATCTTATGGAATTATGTATACGCTTTTCAAATTCTTCTTTAAACTCATACATTTTCTAATATAATATCATAAATAATCTTAAATTGCAATAGATTCTTTGCTTCATATTTGTCGATCATTCGAGCATCGTGCTTCTTTCTTGAAATTGAAATTAATAAAAAAATTTATAAGAAAAATTTATAATAAGAAGTTTTATGAATCTAAGATGCAACATTTCTGCTCAAGTATTACATCTACGCTGTGTGGCAATTAAATCTTAGTTTTAACAAAATTTAATAGATATAAGAGTATCCTATTTTATTTTAATCCATTAATATATATCGTATTGAATAACTACATTCTATAATTTTTGTTGCAAAAAAACCATGTATTATTATGATTATTTTTCTAATATTGAAACATTATGCAAAATTGTAATAATTTTTTTATATAATTTTGTGTAAGAGATATTAATATAATATCATGAACAAAAAAAAATAAATAACATATAAATAATATAAACACTCATACTTTTTTGTATGTGCAATAATAAGAATTTTGTATATTTTAAATAATTTAGATTTATTATTAGTGGGAAAAATGTATATACAAAGCATTAGCAAATTTAAAATAGTCTAATTTCACACATATGATAGAGGACGCAACGAATTATTTTCGAGTTGAAGTTTATTAATCGATGGATCGATTCTCTTGTCATTGAAGTTTGACATTGAAGTTCAGATGAATAATTGTCAATCAATTATCAATGGATATTGTATCGTTATATGGGCGATTTTCTGACAAACATAAATCGCACTTTGTGAGAAAATTAGTTGAGAAAATTCATTGCAAAAATTTCATTGCGTAAGTAGGTGATGAGAGATATGAAGAGAGAGATTCAATATTTTAAATTATTTTAAAATTATAATCTGTATTTTTTGAGATTGGATGAACTTGTAATTATAAGAATAACGATGTGTTATAAATGTATATATATGTGATAGTCGGTTATTATTATGAGAAATAATTACTTGATTTTTACTACATGCTATGCCTGCGTAATACGTATAGCATTACTGCGCTTTAAGCTATAGCGTCATTTTACTACACTGTTATCGCTCTACTGCTATCACTCTTACAAATTAGATTACCAAGTATATTCATTATATTTTAATTTTATGAGTTTGGTTTTTTTAATTTTAGTTTTTTTATACCGTTATACAATTTGGTGCCGCGATAGAAACTTATATGAAACATATATCGGCATTTGTTCATAGGATATCGTTCCTGATAAAACAATAAATAGATTTTTCTAATTACTCAATTGATGATACGCTTTAAGAAGCTTATATATAACTATTCTACATATTAACTTTTATCGTATTATATTTTGATTATATAAAAATACGAACCGTAGAAACAGTGTACAGTATGTGCTTAGATAAATACTTTTATATACATATACATATGTGTGCACGTGTTACTTACGTCATTATTATATTTATCAATAGTATAGTCATCAATATAGTTATCACACATACATGGGGTTATCAATATATTTATCCGAGAATTATGAATGTAATGCACTGTAATATTGCAAATTATTATTTTCTATCTATTTTATGAATATCTGATTCGTGTGCAACTCGTGTTACGAACATGTTAACTGCAAGATTATTCGTAAATAGTTAGTAATCTATTTAATATTTAACGTATTGAGTCGAGAATTTACAGATTATCACGTATTTGTCATAGTTTAAACATGGAAAACATTCTGGCGGTTATGCTCGGCTGATTTACATGCTGAAACATACGTAACGTGTTAATGATAAGCAACCTTGCTTTGAATTCACATATATTCATATAGTTTTGAAAATATTGTTAGACATTTGGTGACTATAAAAAAACTAAGATTGATTCCGTATAATCCATGCTCTGTAAATTAAGATAATTTCAACGTCAATAATTGAAAATTAATAATGATAAAAAGTTAATCTTGTATTAATGTGCACAGCTGATCAAATATGATCGAGTGAATTGAACAAGCACAAACAATGAGAGAGATGAAACAATGATAATCTAATATTATATAATAATAGTAGAATAAATAAAATAAATAATCTTTTGATAACGCATTTTCAAGAATACTTGGAAACATATAATCTTATCGAATAAGCTTACAGTGACATTATCAGCAATCAGTATGTTTTGAAATATGATTGTTTTTGATTTAGATTATTCCAGTTTAGGCTACTCCACGTGAAATTATAAGAGATATTCTCGACATTATTTTCAGAATAAATTTTTTAACAAATCTGACGTTATTTTTATGCAATTGACGCATTGTCGAGAAAGAGATATTAAACGATGTACATTTCTTTTTTCAGAGTACTGCTTATTATTGTTTTGTGCCAAATTAAATTTGATTCGAGGCTCATTCCTATATCACTTCCACGTGATAGAACAACGCAACCAAAATCGCGTCACGCGCATTGGCCAACTTTGAGAAAGCTACTTGAAATGCAGAGCAGCGGTTGAGCCGATTCGCGTGCCGGAAGATCGACGGCGGGCTTATCGGCGACAAATAGTCCCCAGGTGTACTTACGAGAGTATCACGAAGACGCGACGGAAGAGACGCGTTTTCATTGAGAATGTCGCCGGGCGAAGAGAAAACATCGCCCATCATGTGCACCACGCCGGAGATGGAGATTTACAGCGCGACGCTTAAGAGGCGACAGATCGCGAACGTGGACGAAGCGATAGCGCAGAAGGATGTCGAGTCAACGGCCAAGGACGTATATGTACCGCGGATCAAGTGGCTGGATCTCAGCGCGCAAATCTTCATTCACGCTGGTTTCCTCTATGGGCTGTACCTGGTGCTTACGCAAGCGAAATTGCTTACGACGCTATGGGGTGAGAGAAATTTCCTTGATACATTTAGCGTCTGTCGCTTACTTCCAACTTTTGCAATTTCAATGTTCTTTAATGTGCGAATATCGACTCGTTTATCGAAAAGAATATTTTTTATAGCTTTTTGTAAGAATATTTTTTTTAACCGCAGCACCATAATTTTGATAAGAATATCTTTTCATGAATTTTACTTTTTAATTCTATATAATTAAGTTATAAATTCAAATTTTTTTTAATGATTTTATAATAATTATGTATAATAATTCGAGCTTGAATACTACATAATTATAATAATTTTATTATATAATGCATGAATTGATGTTAGAATTATTTCATGTGTTGATCTAGAATGATCCTTGAAATGTGGGAATGTTGGAAGTAAATATTAATTTATTGTTAATTGCAATGACACAAGAAGATAGTCATCTGTAATTTCGCATCGTTTGCGATTAATCACGATACATAATGTCAGAGTACTGTAACGCTGGCGTCATAAGCACACAAAATACTAGAAATATACCAAGAAATACTATCAAATACTATATAAAATAATTATACCGGTAATAACTATATCAATTTATTCTTTATCTACGAACCTGTTATTTTTACAATGCATTTACAATTGTTTTGAATGAAATCACGTAATAGACAATTCGTAGATGTCTCAGCTGTTATATTTACAATTTTTCTTTGCAAATTACTTTATGCGTAAGTAAATGTAAATTACTTTATATATGTTACAATGGTCGTTGAGTATTTAAAAATTATTTTATCATAATTATTTATTATCTTATAAAAAAAATAGTGAAAAAAATTCATATTAAAAACAAATTAATCCCTCTTGATGTCTTTGTTGTCATATCTTTTTTAAACTCTTAATTGCAATGTAAATTTGCATTTTTTTCTTTCGCTATGTTAATTTCCCACATATAAATCGAAATGTTCATCGATATAGCCGTAAAAATCAGTCTAGCTCGTCATGCATATGCAAGCGCCAAGATGCCGGGCGCCTGGCAAGTAAATTCGCAATAGCCGCGTACAACTTACCCACATTCTACGGAGCTTGAATCACGCACGACATTGTGAGAAATGAATGACAGGGTGCAACCACGCGCGATGCATACGATGAAATTACGGCGAAAGTACGGTAACGGGATGTACGATTATGCGAACGCACGTGTTTGTATTCGATTTGACATTTATAGCCGGTAAGCCTGCTGGCGTAAAATGAAAAAGTAAACCGCGATAACAATACCGTGTCTCGGATTTCTATATTTGCGGTAACATGTTCCACGACATAACAAATACAACTTTACGTTTTAAGTAATTGAAGAACACGAGAAAAGAATGCTAATAAAAAACGCTCACAATTTATTTAGCTCAGTTACTTATTTTATTTATTATGCTTATTACTTTTATTATCAACCTCGAAAATTGTCTATCCTTCTTAAAAAAAATCAACGTTAAACAGAAAATATGAGAACATTTGAAATAAGAAAACAAGTTATGAATGTGTGTGTATATATGAATACTAAATAATGAAGAGAAAAATGGGAGTTGCAATGATTTAAAATATTATATTATCACATATATGTGTGGGCGCGCCAAGGATTTGGAGTCATTGCATATTGAAAAAAAAAATTTGCAAATATTGAAAAAGCGTAAAATCCAATTCTTAGTAAATGACTCCTCGAATACTTCAATCTCGTTGCTCCACTTTAATCATCCGCATGTGTATAGTCTTAAATATACATTTTGATGGATATGTGCTTTTTATGATTATAGTGTTCATAACGATTTATACGTCCGGCTTTGGCATTACGGCTGGCGTTCATAGATTATGGTCGCACAAGGCTTACAAAGCAAAGTGGCCTCTACGTCTGCTTCTAGTCTTACTGTTCACGATAACAGGACAAGTACGTAAGCTTTTTACATAAGAACTATAATTTTTGCATAATGTTTTCTTTGTTAATGGATCGTTAGAAAATAAGATATTTATAACCGCATTCTTATCAAATTCAAAAAAGTATAATTTAAAAACTTAAGAATCTTTTATGTTTTCATATATATTTCATATATATATATATGAATATGTAATATATTTATCTGCGAAGAACATGAAAGTTAACGATTTTTTGCAAGGACTCTTTTTAACAATAGTCTTTTTATACAGAGAGATGTGTACACGTGGGCGTTGGACCATAGGGTGCATCACAAATATAGTGAAACCGACGGGGATCCGCATGACGTAAGGAGAGGTTTTTTCTTTGCGCACGTGGGGTGGCTTTTTACGACACCCCATCCCGATGTCGTTGCCAAACGCAAAGCAATCGACATGAGCGACTTGGAAACGGATTCCATAGTTATGTGGCAGAAAAGGTTATTGACTTACATTCAACCATTTATTTATACCGTTTTTTTTCAGCATGTGAAATGTATGAAAATATATGAGAATAGGAGTGATATATACGTGGGTCGTTTGATAAGTTTGGTAAATTTCCGTGAAATTCAACGAGTATTTTGTAAGTTTTGAGACAGTCTATTTTTTCAACGGTTAAAAAATTGGATCTCGTTCTACCAAGTGTATAGACCTCAATGGAGACTATGTTGAGAAATAACGTAGATTTTTTTCCAAAACAATGTGTTTTACTTGCTTTTTTACCAAATTTATCAAACGACCCTCGTATGTATATATACATATATATATATATATATATATATATATATATATATATATATCAGAAAGAGACCTCTCCATCATTTTGTAATATTTATATGATTTAGGAAATCTTCACTACATTGTTTCTTTCTCAGATACGTAACATCGAGATCAATAATATTATTTAATTTATCTCGCAGATTGTACATACCTCTATTTGCGCTTCTGACCATTGGACTTCCGGTGATAGTTCCTTATTACTACTGGTCGGAATCATTATGGATTTCATTCTGGGTGAACTTCAATTTCCGCTTCTGCATAAATCTAAACATAGCCTTTTGCGTCAATAGCGTGGCGCACTTGTGGGGACAGAAGCCCTATGACAAGTACGTATTGAATCATGGTGTGAACCTATCAAGAAAAAAAACTGTGGTCATTTTCTCGTATAATAGAACGATCGAGAATTAGCAATTATTTAATCCAATAAATTATTTTCATATGATACAAATTCCAAATGATAAGTAATTTGATGATGATTCGTAGGAACATTTCGCCAGTCGAGAACTTCGCAGTATCGATCGCATCGCTCGGCGAGGGATATCACAATTATCACCATGTATTTCCATGGGATTATAAGACTAGCGAATTAGGCGATTATTCATTCAATCTCACTACCGGTTTTATTGACACTTTCGCACGGATCGGTTGGGCCTACGATCGAAAGTACGTCTCGCCGGAGATGATCCATCGCAGAGCGCATCGATGCGGCGATGGGAGCCACGTTTGGGGTTACGGTGACGTCGACATATCGGAGGATGATCAAACGGAGTTGGATATGATGAATAATCACGAATTGTGAGACTGAGAACGTGGAATCGTATCGTGATCCTTTCGGATGGATCGAAAATATATATCGAGAATATTTCCTTAGTTATCGTACACGGACATTTCTCTCGCAGAAACAAGAACTGGAGTAAAACTGATACGGAGATGTGTGATTCTCTGTGATTTTGAATTCCACGCCCAAAGTACTATATTGCCAAGAAATATTTATATTCCAATGGTTATGGTTATTTGATGAAATGTTTTAATCAAAACGCACAGTGTTGATTCTCGATTATAAAGCGCGAGTAGAAAATTAATCTTCTCTTTAATTATGAAAATTACATAAATCAAAGACCATTTATAAAATTTATTGTAATAAAAAAAAATTAAAACTTATCTATTATTTATTTATGAAATCTGTATGTTGTATCACTATTTGAAATGAGAAAATAATAAATAGCGAAGTATCGAGATAATCAATAATTATAAAATCGCATAATCGAGAGTTCATCGTTTACGATATATAAGAGAGTCACTGTTTATATATACAATATATAATACGTATATAATTGTTATTTATTACAATTTTAGCTGCAATATGAAAATTTCTATTTTATTATAATACAAAGTACAAGTATTAATGTAAAGAAATCGAATTATTGTATATTGGTATTTTCCGATAAATTTATATATTCTCACAACATTTTCTTTTAAACCTTCAGCAAAGAAATAATACCCAAAATTTCCTAATTTTAATTTAAAAATTAACATAAAGGTGATTCTTGAATTACACATATTATCATATTTACAATTACACATATTATAGGACTTTAATTAAAAAATGATAAATAAAAATCAGAAAATTAAAAAATGAAAGAACATTACAATATCTTATGATGACAATATTTTTAATATAAATTTAATTTTAAATATATTATAATAATATAATAAAATTATATATTTAAACAATAAATAAAATTAATAAATATAAAAAATAAATATAAAATATACAAAAGTGACTGAAATGTAGGCGAAACTTTTCATGTAAAAATTTATTAACGAAAAAAAATGAAATCTGTAATAAAACTGTTAAAATTTTGCTATACATATGTCTTCATGATCATCGTTGATATGGCTTTCATGTGCTGATGAAAGAAAAAAAGAAACTATACGTACTATGACTCTGAACAGCACATACAACTTGCGTTTTCAATTTCATGGTTTTTCTTGCAGTTTTTCATTTATTTTAACTCTAGCAATAGTGATAGAATTCTAAACTTTAGCAATCTATGTGAAATTTCGACGCCGATACTTTATTGTTTACTAAAAACTTTATGATTATTATGATACAAATTGTACTAGCTGCCTCAGTCATCCTGTTATATAATTGACTGAAGAACTTTGAAATTCTACTTCTTCTCATATTATTATAAACACTTAAATTTGTACGTTAATGCTGCTGTTTTTCCTAACTAAATTTTTTATTTTATACAAAAAGTTTTCTCGTTTATATTTAAATATTTTCATATATTTAATAATATAATATATTACTTGTCTTTGTATATTTAATAATAATAAAATAAATTAATTTTTAATGAAAAGAATATGTTGTTTATAATTCCTATTTTAATATATTTTTTGATATTTATTTTTATCGATTATATGCTCTTATTTTTTTTCAAACTTTATAAAATTTTTTAAATGAATTAATTCCATTCTTATCATATATAATTTCTATCATATAATAAATTCTTATATTCATTATATTTAGTTCAATATATTTATTTTTATTATGTGCCTAAACAATAATAAATGTTTAATATTATATATATTTTAAATAAACACTACAATCATAAAATTTTCATAAAACTTTCAATCGTAAAAATTTTTTTAGCAATGTATTGCAATTCAAGAAACATTTAATTAATTTGATAAAATCCTAAAGCGTATTTGAGAGTATATAAAGTTATAAAATTATAAATAATATAAAAATACTGCACAACTATAATGTCCGTTAAATATATTTCAGATACATTTTTAATCCGAATAACAAATTACATTTAAATCCACAAAAAATTAATTAAAATGTATCTGATTTTAAACATTATTGCTGCATTGAAAATAATTATTGCTAGAATCGCAATTGAAGAATAATTAATTTGTATTGCTTTGATTTCTGCTTGAAATAAATCGAAATGAATCATGCATTTTGTTAAAAAGAAAGATTCGCAACAATTATACTAATTTATATTATTTATAAATTACTGCGCAAATAAATTATGCATTAGACAAATATTTTAAATAAATTAAAATAATATACGATTTTTTTAAATGTTTATTTCAATTTTATTATAATTTTTTTTAATGACTTATTTTTTTCTCATAATTACCTTATACCTATAGCATATATGTATAAATACAAGTTGAAAAATAAGTTCTCTGTTAATTATATTGTATATTTAGTTAATTTTTAATTATATTATATATTTAGTTAACTTGTATTTAATTTCATAACCGCATTTCCAAAGCTTTCACATAAATCTGTTAAATATATGTGATATATACTTTATAAACATGAATATGAAATTTTTAGAAGAAAAACAAGAAATTTTGTGACGCATGAGAAACAAGAAATTTCATGAAGATAAGCAACAAATTCAATGTACATAATATCTGTGTACGACCAACAAACGGCATAAAAGTTTTGAATACAGGAAATGACTAGGGAAAAGTAACTCATTTTTGTTGATAATGAAATTCCAAATAGGGTCGTAAGGCCAAAACATCCTCGACGATGCTTTGCCATAATTTTATTTCCGAAGTAGTTTCAGTGTAACGTTCAACATAACTGTCTCGAGAAGTAAGATATCAGAGATATTTATTTTTTATTAAAAAAAATATACATACGAGTTTTGATATTTTCCGCAATTTGACTTTTATTCATAATTACTTTTCGAGAGAAGAAAGAGTTTCTATTGTTTTATATATTTTTCAATTTCATTATTTAGTTAAAAAATTTCGGTTTTCAAAAATCTTTAAAAGATCTTTAATTCAATCATTCCTTGAGTATACATAATAATTTATCAATATCTATACGTATGAAATTCTCTATGTATTACAACTTCTTAGCAAAGATAATAATTATTAATTACTTGAAATGTAATAATTATTTATTATAATTGTTACTATTACAAATGTTATCAAATACTATTTAATTTCTTGCACATATATTCATTCTTTGCATTCTTTATGTTCTTTGTGACAGGATTTTAATTGTGATATCAACATGAAAGAAAAAGAAGAGAACAGCACTAAGAAAGAAATAGAAAAGCGATCTGTAAATTGGGTTCTTGTTCTTTTTTATCTATACCTTCATATCCTCGGTATTGCCGGGATGTATTTTCTATTTACCAAAGCGAAATGGATTACGGTATTTTATCGTGAGTATATGCATATTTTTTACATATTATTATATAGAACTACAATCAAAAAATCACACATGTATAAATAGAATTAGTTAATTCTCTATTCTAGATCTGTTTATTTTGAGATGATTGGAATAAGAATCTCATTGTAATATTCAAAAGAATATCAATATTATTAATTAACGATTGTTACAATTAAATATTCTATTAGATAAAAAATACGAGATTTAAATATATTCTTCAAATCCTCTGTTGATATATGTATATCTTTTTTCACAACATGATTTTCTTCTCTCGATAAATTCTGATAGTTATTTAACAGATGGTTTGGTGTTTCGCTGATTTCAGTTTTATTCCTCGTCACGATGAGTTCCATAGCATTGACAGCCGGTGTACATCGATTATATGCACATTCAACTTTTGCCGCAACATCGCAACTTAAACTCTTCATTATGCTAGCACATACTCTTGCAGGCGTAGTAAGTATTTTAAGATTTACATGCCAATAAAATACTTATATATTAATATCCAAATGATTTAACATCGTACCAATTAGTAAAAAATAATTTCTAGAATAAAAGATTCTTTTACATTATGGCAATAATACACATTACTTTCGATACAGTTCTTTATATGCATTTTTTGTAGTGCGTTCATTAATGTAATGCGTTTTAGATATTATTTATTAATATATACAAATCGCTTAAGACTCATTCCCATTTTATTTTTTAAAAGACAATTTATTGCCTTTTCTTAATGATCTTTCATATTTTTCTTTAATTTTACATCTTTTATTCTGAAATAACGAAAGGATAGAAGAGTGTTATTATATTCAATATATTTTTGATATTATATAAAAAATGATCGCGCAGTATAATTATTATTGATGTCATTTATATATGACATTATTATGTAATTAAAAATATGTTTATTCGAAACATTATATAACAAATATGTATATATATATATATATATATATATATATATATATATATGTATTATTATATAATTAATTATGATAAACGCTAGATTAATTAGTATTTAGTAAGTCAATGCAATGTTAAACATAAGCATTTACAATAGGGAATGACTATCCAGAAATTATATAATGGAAGGCAGAACTAAAGCCAGAATTATTTTCTGAAAATTTTTATCTAGCATTTACTTTGAAAAATCTTTTAATGGTAAATACATAAAAAATATGATAAAAATTATAATAATAATCATAAAGATCTGTTTGTTTTCAGGGTCCGATACAAGACTATGTATTTTGGCATAGAATGCATCATCTATATTATGGGACTGAAAGAGATCCGTATAATCATCAAAAAGGATTTTTTTATTCTCATTTCATTAGCAATATTTTATCAACACCTTCTGACATAAAAGAGTATGGAAGAGACATCGACATGCGCGATGTTGAAGCGGATGGATATGTTTGGACTCAACGAAAGTATGTATTTTTCAATATGACTCAAATATTTTATATAGAAACTTTATAAAGAACATAGGAAGCATACACATATTTATTTAAATAAAAATAATACGAAATATAGGGCTATTTATACACATATATGTACTTATAATACGATAGAATTTAAATAATAGTATGGAGCTGGATGAACAGAAAATTCTATATCATAATATATGCCAGAGAGAAAAATTTGGTATATATATTAACATTACATATAAGAAAATTTTATATATATATATAATTTTTCTCTGGATATATTCTCATATATTCTGTTTCATTATAATATATATCAATTCACATATTTAAATAAAACATATTTAAATAAATGTATTACATAGGTTTTATTGGATACTTTTTATCGTGTTTGGACTTCTACTACCCATCAACGTGCCTATGGAATATTGGGGTGAATCGTTGGTTAATTCTTTTCTGATCATTGGTGCAACACGACTGATGATAACTACAAACATTTCTTGGCTTGTAAACAGTGCCTTGTTAGTCTGGGGACTAGAAAGAGGAGCTAAGTTAATATCTTTTTTTGATACCATCTCACTTTTCTATAAAGTCTTGTTCAAGATACCGAAGAGTCACAGTACTATTATTATCAATAGGGATGGTATATATTATAAATAGCGCTTAACGAAATCTTACAAGGATATTTTGTTATAAATGCTATGTATAAATTATTATTTTGTCAAAGATAAAATAATACACATTCTCCAAGTTTAAACCGATTTTTTATTTTTTAGATTAAACAAAACAATAATATATTATAAACGATAATATATGATGATAATTTCATGTAATTTCTCGTATATTTTAGTTACATGCTTTTCTCGATTTAATATATTAATAACACTTATACACATATACTCATAAAATTAAAAAAAAAAAAAAAATATATATATATATATATATATATATATATATATATTAATATATTAATATATATATATATATATATCAATATATATATATATATTAATATATAAATATATATATATTATATTAAATATATATTTTTATATTGATAAAAAATTTCCCATATAAAAGTATTTATTTATTCTTTATTTATCTTTCTTGATAAATAATCATATTTTATATATCTTCTTTGTAATTAGTACAATCTTTTGCACAGCAAGTTAATTTCATTTGGTTCTAACAACTGATATTTACATTTCAGATATCCGGTTGACGATAACTCTGTATTCTTTTTGTCAAAATCTTATTGGCTAAATTACCACTACCAGCTACCTTGGGATTGGAAAAATGACGAATTTGGTACTTATGAAAGAGGTTTCAACACTTTTATCATCAAAATGTGGCGCGAACTCGGACTCATCAATGAGATGAAGACCACTACCAGCAATGAAGTACGAGACGCTCTTTGTAAAGTTGCCATGTCAGAGATGACATTAGAAGAAGCTAAAGATGAATTGAAAAGAAACGCAGAGGCAGCAGCTTACAAGGAGAAGCTAATGTTTCATCACTAGGGAAATAAATTCGCAAGAATGTCGCGAATTAATAAAAAATATGTAATTAAAATTTTTTTCGATTTTTTTAAATGTCAATTAAAATACAAAATCTTTTGTATATTTATTACCCAAGTAGCACAAAAATAGCACTTTTTGATGTATTTCAAAACTTATGATTATTCTTATTACCTGAAGAAAAGGAATTAATATATAACAAACATTAATTATTAATATATAACAAACATAAAACAAACATTTTATTAAAATTGTAATAAGACAATATAAATCTAATTTATATACATTTCTCGATCATGATCCACTCGTGACGTATCGTTCTTGAATTGAAATATGTATATACATTATATAAAATGACATTCATTGAAAAATAAATTTAACTAATAAAAAAAGATTAAAATACCGAATAATCATTTATACTTTATAACGTCATAGAATGTCTATATTGTTGCAACTGAAAATGTATAACAATTTAATATTATGAAAGTATAAGATATTAAAAACAAGAAAGCAATGTGCACACAAAATATGTTTCTTTTTACTTAAAAATATTTTTTTATTAAAATGATTTAAACATAAATATCTTATTTTAATTATTAATATCATAATTCATTATGTATAATACAATATAATAGAATCATGCGACTCTTCTTACAATTAATAATAATAATATCAATAATTGTGTGTTCTTGACGGCATAATCATGACAATATCATTTTTCGTGTTTGTTATATATTGGATTAAATATATATTAGATATTCGACTAAATGTTATAAATTGGAATAAATAGAATTATAATTTAAATATCAAGAACTAAAAGTAATATAAAAACTACTAGAAGTTTCAATAAACCTAAAAACAGAAATACCTAGAAACCTAGTAAACATAGGAATTTGTTATAGCATCAAATTGAAAATTAATGCACTAACCAATATTAGAACGATTGTCACAGAAAATTAATTTATAGTAGGAATCACCTGCGTCCTTTACTATATTTTTGATTCTTCGCGTTAGATCAGTAATCTGAAATTCGAAGGCGAGGAATTACGTCCTATAAAAAAGTAATCTAATAAAAAAGAAAAAAAAGAACTAAAATTTTTCTTGTTCTCCTATTACATGTTTTCTACGTGATTATTCTAAAAAAGAAAAAGATAGTGCAACAATAAAAAATAACGATATTATCATTCGGTTATATGTCATGAGAATAAGTAATTAAAAGAAAATTCTATAATAGCGGAGGAGCTCAATCCCGGAAGATTTCTAGAATAGAGAAATTCGTCTGTAAAAAAATCATACAAAAATGTTATAATTAATAAAACATTTAATCAGTTGTTTTGAATATCACAAAATGAAACGCTCTGCATTTTCATATACACGATTTTGTGTGAAAAAAATAAATAAAATTTATTTTATATCGGTAAGTTCGATTTTAGATTGAAAAGAATTTAATTTTTAATTCATCTTATTTCACCATATTTTTATATTATTAACACTGCAATAATTATTTCTTGAATTTTGATGTCAATTTCTAGATATTAATTAAACAATATGTATTGTTACTATTAAACGTCATTATACATATCCATAAGTCGCAAATTACAGAGTTGATAATTATACTTGTTTTGATTTACGCAATCCTCTTTATTATTACCAATGCGTAAATTTTTTTTTATATTCATAAATTTCTTTCTGTCCTTCAAACACAAGTAATTTATTTATCGCATTCATGGTATTTATAAACTAATACAATAAGTGAGAAACAGTACTAAATGAAAAATAAACATTTAATAAAATTGCAATGCATTCAATGTGTAAAGAAATAAATATCTTATCGCATCACAAAAAAATAAAAAAATTTTTGTATCTATAATATGCGTTATATAAAAAGAGAAAAAGAAAAGAAACAAATATAATTTTTATCATTACAGATAACATTTTGTTGTTTTTGGAGTGATCATAACATTATTTAAAATCGATTTTGATCGCCGAGATAGTATCGTAGATGGTATCCAGATTTGCGCATTACAAAACAAATTATTTATTTTGAGAACTTTCAATTTTAGTCAATAATTGTACGTTCAAATTAAACAACAATTTAGTCAATTTAGTAAATTAGTCAAAAAATAATTCTTTTATACATATGTATCTGTATCAAATTCCCATAATTTTCGTTCATACATTATAATATTATTAATACATAATAATCAATATAATTTCTATAAAAAAATTGATTGACAGATGAATTTATCTACGAAGATGAAAAACGAAATTTAAAGGTATTTTATACATTTTTTCTTTCTCTCTTTTCATTGCATTATCATTGTTTGCGCGTTATCTTAAGAGGTACAAAATTAATACATTTGATTCCAATTATATATAGTCCTGTTTCCTCCATATTATATATACAAATATATATACATATATATATGTATATATCTTCGTTATAATTACGTCTTAAAAATCATACGAATAATATAAACTATTCAATAATTACGTAATATAATTCGAATACAATTTGATTTAATTCCATTTCAAAAGTAGATAAAAGTATTTTATCGAGCAGATCGAATACTATCGATACTACATAGAATGATTTATGTTTCCTGCCCGACATCAAACCTTCCGGGGCTATATATTATATGGAACCCGCCAAATAATCATGCAACGATGCTGAAAGCGAAATATACGACATCGAAATGAGACTCGGAAGGCTAGCTTAATTGAATGATCGAATCATTGTCTATATAAATCTATATAAACGAAGAGTTATCGTGGAAAAAAATTTTGAATTCTAATCGAAAGAATTTCTCGCGCATGATTTTACTGTTCCTTCGTGTGATAATACGTAACTATCGCCTCGTCCCTCTCTTCTTGCGTCTGATCCTCGTCACCCCAACCCCATAATTCGTGACTGCCATCGCCCGTTCTCTCTACTCGTTTCTTCACCATATCTTCAGACACGCTTTTCAAATCGTAAGCCCAACCGATCTTCGCAAAAAAGTCGATGAAAGCCGTTGTAAAGTTCAGCTTATAGTTCCCGAATTCGGCTGTCTTGTAATCCCAGGGGAACACATGATGGTAATTATGCCAACCCTCTCCAAGAGCAAGTAAAGCGACACTTTTATTTTCCGACGGATTGATATATCTATATAAGAGAACAATTATATTACAAATTTTTCATGATAAAAAAATAGGCAAATTTGAGAAATAAAAATAAAAAATAGAATTCGCAAGATAAATCTTCGAAAAAAATTAATAAATGATATATAAAAATTAATAAATGATATATACATGAAATTCGACTTGTAAGTGTTTTAATTGATCAATACTAACTTATCGTAAGGTTTGTTGCCGAACATATGTGCCGCGGAGTTTACTAGCCACGTCATGTTCAACGTAAAGACATAACGAAGAACAGTGGGAATGAAGTAAGCGTTCGTCCATGTCTCGTTCCAACACATAACCGGAATGACAGTGGGTAAAATAAAGCATAACAATGGCATCAACACAACATAATATCTGAAATAAGCCAAAATTCACATTATTTTTTATTATACATATGTCACTAAAGAAATATCATTCGGCTCAATATCAACACACATACCTTTTTTGAAATGCTAATATAGGATCGCTTTCAAGATCACTCAAGTCAATTCCCTTGCCCTTTTTCTTAACTTCCGGATGCTTCTTACAAAGTAACCAGCCTATATGCGAGAAGAAGAAACCTCTCTTAGCGTTATGTGGATCGGCATCAGTTTCGCTATACTTGTGGTGAACTCTGTGGTCTCTGGCCCAGTCGATCGCAGCATCCTAAATTCCAAAAAATTAAATTAAATATTATATGTAATTTTTGTATATCACATTGATATAAAGGATCTTTAATATGTTTTGTTCATGCAAAGCAAAAAATAATATACTTCCATCGTTCAATTCGCATCTATATTGTTTTCTATATTTATATATTTCTCTCGTATTATGTATGAAAATACTGAATATGTTCGCTTATATTTTATCAATTGATCCATCGCGGAAATAATATGTGCCACCTACATTCTCGAGTTTATGGAGAATAATATTTTTTCCATAACAACGGATCGCTTGTTTAGCCAATCTCTAACGACACAGCGCGGATCATGCTATTTTTCCATTACCTACACGCGACGCATGTTTTATGCTCGACATCACCGCATCGACATGAATTCTTTACGTTTCACTAGCTGCAGAGTCGATTCTATCATAGTTCTACTCGATTGATTACTACATTGTTAAATATATATCTATAATCAACTACAACCTTTTCTAGCAAAGTTTTTAATATTCTAATTTAAAGTAAAAAAAATTAATGATTAAATCATTCAATATATCCTACTTTTTTCACAAGTAATTTTATTAAATTTTCTCTTTTATAGTTCCTCTGAAAACTTAATTACGCACCTGGAATGCTATAGTGTTAAAAACCACGAGCAACAATTGAAGAGGCCACTTGGCTTTGTAGGATCTATGTGCCCATAATCTGTGAGCTCCGGCCGTGATTCCAATGCCTGATAGTTGATATAATACAATTGCTGTAATCAAGAAAATCATGATATTAAACGTAAAGTAATATCGATCATAATGTGTTATCTTAAACAAATAATTCTTTTAAATCACACAAATAATATACATATATACAAAATATAAAACTGATAATGCGAATCAGAAAGTTATTTACAATTTATTCATAATATTGATAATATTAACTGATATATGATAATATAATAATAATGATAATATAATTTTGAATTATACATATATTTTAAATGCAATAAATAAAAATCTTGATAGACTTGTAAAATTATTATATTTATAATATTATTATATTTTTTAAGCATATATATATATATATATATATATATATATATATATATATACTATATAATAGCATCATACTCTCATATATAATTTTGAAAAATATTCCATTTCTGACGCTTACTTTAATTAGACTTACTTAATTAGTTTATTTCAGTTATTATTATAAAAATAAGAGAAAATAATTGTTTACTGTAATCCTTCTACTATTAAAATTATTTTTAGTTTTAACTTTTCATAAATTACAAATAGCAAGACGAGCAATTAAAAATGTTGATCTAAAGGACATATATATATATGTATATGAAATAAAATCGACTTTACCGAAAATGACAGACGCTAATTTGGCGGACGTGAAAGATAGATAAATTCCGTAAAGAGCTCCAAGATGTAAGTACATAAAAATCGCCACATTTCTCCACACAATGCGTCTAACATATTTTGGTTTTTCTTTAACTTCCTCCATCAGTTGTGACTCGGTCAAAGTTTCATTCTCAAAGAGTACTCCTGTCGGTGTGCTGGTTATATTCGGCGCCATGCTTACTTCAAAAGACCTGTTAACAATAATGTAAGAGATTTGTCTTCAGCATTTGATTTCTTATAAAACGTTTTAATTTTGTCATAATAAATAATAAATCTCGCATTTTGCTTACGTCGAAAAACTTAAACTTTATGTTATTCACATATTATTTATATATTTTAGATATTATCATGTATAATATATCATTATAATATATATAAATAATGATGATATGATGATATAATGATAACAATGATATAAATTTCAAATTATATATTTTAAATCTAACAAATAAAAGTCTTGATAGATTTGTAAAATTATTATATTTAATTTAGTCCTAATTATTATCTTTATTCATTAATTGTTTACATTCTCTCGTTTATCTTTTTAAATTTTCATATTGTTTTCTTAAATAAATAATCATCCATATAATTAATTACAAAAATTTAAAATTTTTAATTTTTTTAAAACAAAAACTTTTAGCAAATTTTAGATATGAGATATATTATACGAAATATTATCGCGATATATTATTGCAAAATTATAATTAGCTCAATTTTTTGATAAAGTTAATAATCTGCAAGGAAAGCCGACATTGAGCATAAAGTAGCTCCTTTGCCGATACCGCCGCTTCGATAATCATATTTGCATATGGCCCGTTATTTGATGGAGCTAATATGATTCGCGTCATGGCGTCGTAATAATAAGTTTTACTACAGTCGAAAGTCCTGCAAGCATAGAATGAACGAACATGGTGATTGTATGTTGCGAAAAAACAAGTAATAAAAATATACCAATAATGACGAATATGAATTCAAGCCTAATACAAAATGTATGCTTCTCTCTCTCTTTTTTTATTTACAATGTCATGAAGAGTATTTAGATATTATCAGGTTTATATATAGTTATCGCTTTTCGAAATTGTTAGTGGAAGATGATAGAGCTCAAGAATGATAACATTACGAACAAAGCAATATGTATTATAGTCTAAAAATGTGGAAAAATTGCGATTAATCATGTACAATTCGCTGATTTAATTGATCATCAGTGCTTGGAAACAGCGATTCTCTCTGTGGGGAAATAACACCTGTAAGACTTTCACCAGTATCGTAAAGTCACGACAAAGCTTTCAGCTGATTTCGTTGCCTAAATCAGAAATTGATGTTGCAAAGCTCATACAACATACTTTCACTTATTTACACTCCCTGGAATGTCGTGATTAATAAACCACGTGTAATGTGTTTACATTAAGTCATTATTGGTAATGCTAATGAACCTGCGGAGAGAAAATGACTTCGCATGACGCACTCATTATTCTAAAACCTAAGACAATGAGGAAGTACATAACTACGGGTAATGAGCGGACACTCGAATTATTTCGAGCACACGTTAAAATTTTTTTGTCAGTGACTTATTTTAACCATCTCGAGCTTGATTTTTTTATCGACTATCCAGATATTAATAGCTGATTCACGAATCCTCGATGGATATTGATACTAATGTGTATATAATCACCGTAGTCCGGCGTATTGTACGTAGTATCGTAAGCCAGCAGGCGTTGCCCTCAATTCCGTCAGATATGCGAAAACGAAATATATTCTTGCACGTGACCGAGGATGCTAACCGGTCGAGGACTTAACCAACTATCGACTATCGCCCGTATCCTCGACGGACGTCAACCAGGCGCAGACTCGCGCGGCACCGAAACGCCGGCCACGATGTTCCCGCCGCTTGCGCAAAAACATCACCTCGTTTGACAATAAGGCGAGTGCGATCAGCTGATTCTCAATCCGGTCACAGATGATAATTATTATTTCGAATAAAAGTAACAAATTTGCATGAAAGAGGAAATGATAGTGCACACAAAATATTCCTTCTCATTGTTCCATGCACGCATGAATTTAATTAATTTACAAACGGAAGAAAAATACAGTTATTTATCAATTTTGCAAGAAAATTTAAATATATAACGGAATTAATAAATCACGTGCAGTATATAGACAATACTAATGATGCAGGTATATATATATATATATCATTAAAATATCGAAGGAGAAAAAATCGGTTGTCACAATTAAGTCACATATATACCCTATGCATGACGTTAGAAAATTATTAAAAGGTGAACTCATTGACCATTCTGAATGTATGCTATGGATAGTCATTCTCCAGCATCCTGTTCATTAGTATTGTCTATATACTGCACGTGATTTATTAGTCACGTTATATATTTAGATTTTCTTGCAAAATTGATAAATAACTGTATTTTTCTTCCATTTGTAAATTAATTAAATTCATGCGTGCATGGAACGATGAGAAGGAATATTTTGTGTGCACTATCGTTTCCTCTTTCATACAAATTTGTTACTTTTATTCGAAATAATAATTATCGTCTGTGATCGGATTGAGAATCAGCTGATCGCACTCGCCTTATTGTCAAACGACGTGATGTTTATATATATATATATATATATATATATATATACATATATGTGATGGTTTATATACATACATATATATATATATATATATATATGTATATAAACCATCACATATATGTATATATGTATTCACAGTTGTTTGAAAATTTACATATGACTAAGCTTTGTCTTCCACTTCGTTTACATAATTAATGAAATGTAAAAAAAATGCAAAAAATGTGACATATTTCGTTCTACTGATTCATGTTACACATTTGTGTTTTATACATATAATGTAATTGATTCTCATTTATCTTATATTTTTTATGGTATAACTTTAAAGATAATAACAAGGTTGAAGATTTTACAAACTAGATTCGTTTAGACGTTATTCAGTCATTGCCAAGGTTATACGGCGTCAGAACTAATCATTTTTATCGTAGCACAATGACCATTCAATTTACGATCATGATACGACAAAAAAATATTATCTTTACATTCATACTATACTCAGGATTATCTATAAACACTATATATGCATCTTTATCAAACAGTTGTATAAACGCATACAATTATTATCAGCGTACTCAATGTAATCAATTTAATTTACTTTTCTTTGGAAAATCTCCGCGTTACTAAATAAGCAAAAATACAATATAAACATTTTTTAATAGACAAGAAAAGTGTAATATTCGAATTTTCACATGTCATTGTGTGTATATATGTGTGTATGTGAAAAGAAAGAGAGAGAGAGGAAGAGCATAATGCGCCTTATTGCTGTAATATCTATATTAAATTATTTTAGCATATTTTAATATTTATTTTAAGACATAATTTTTTATGATAGTAATAGTAATAATCTATATAATAGTAATAATAATAATTTTTTCTTTTAAATAACATTTATAAATTGTAATAATGTAAAATTAGTTTTTATGGTGGAAATACATATATATAGATGCATGCATATCACACATATATTGCACACACTGATAAATATAATCATGACGTATTTTAATTTTGCTTTGGTGTATAATTACAATATAATTAAGTGAAATTCATATCTAATTAAAATAAAGATAAAAGTGTTTTTTCTTGTTTTTAAAAAAAAAATTTAAAAATACTATAAACACAATGGAAATTAATAATTTCGATTGATAAAAAAACTTGTTGTTTATTGTCATGTTTCGTAAGTTAATGACTATTCATTTTATATAACAAAATAATTCTAGGTCCTTCGATATTCTTTAAGATGACCATAATTGTGTAACTTAGCGTGCAGATAATCAGTGTAATATTCTAGCTTATTAAGTAAATCAATGCACACTCTCTTATCTAATAAAAATATGCATGCATTTGTGTAAACATTATTAATTGATACGCACAACTCGAAATAATCTAATGACCTTGCATAACACATGTAACACATGTAATTTGTTTATAAAAAATAATTAACAGGAATATATAACTAGACAATTAATTAAAAGTAATAATATACAATCTCTTATAATATTTAAATTTAATCGCAATAATGAAATCAATTCTGATGCAGGTAATTATATTTCAGATAATATACAAAAATAAAAAAGTACGAATTCTTTTTCAGGGTACCTAATCAAAATTTATTTAAAAAATCTCTGAAAATTCTTTAATCTTCAGATATTTTTATTTAAAATATAAAGAAAATATTTTTAAAAATATTTTGTACAATTTTTTAAAATAAGATTTTCTTATCATTCTTTTTACTGTTTTTAATGTTCTTCATTTATATTAAGGAAAAAGACAGAGCTATTTAAGTTTTAAGCGCAAATATACTGAAAAAACTAAATAGCTTTCGTAAAATAAGCGTTATTTAAGCGTTTGCACAACATTTTTATTTTTTTATCACTAAAAATTACATACAATAAAAACATGTATTGCATATTCAATATTTATATATTCAATATCTTAACAAAATATTGAATATGCAATACAGATTTATTAATATATATAAGTATTTATTAATATATATATATATATATATATATATATATATATATGTTTATAAATTTATTAAAAAAATAAATATGTATTATATGTATTTTTTCTTGTTATTTTTACAAATATATAAATATTATTTTTTTGCTTGTTGCATCATTGTTATTATATCAAATTGTTTCTAAAATAAAATAGGAATTAGAAAAACGTGTGCTAGTATCTGATTTCCACGTATATTTTTAGTACTCATGCCACTCAATAGTAACACTTAACATATGGTTATCGCGTTTGCATATTAGAAAATGTATAAAAATTTATTGGCAATTTAAAACTCTTGCCATTATCTTTTATAGATGACAATTCAGTCATATGATGTAATAAAAGTTCAATTTTTCTCGCCTTCATTTAGAAAAATCATTTAGAAAAAACGCTCGTAATTTTACTGTTAAATTAATTTTATCTTTCAATAATATTGATTCTAAATTTAAATACTACTAAAATAATATTTTTTTCGAAATATGTCCTATAACTCCGAAACGTATATTCTCGAATATTGGTAGTTTTTAACAAATAATAATTAAAAACAAAAATAGAGATTTATACGAATAAATAGATGTAATTACGATATGCAATCTAA